GCCAGGTCAAAACCTTCCTGTTCCAAAAGGCTTTTAATTGAAATAATATCAGCTGTGGGTCTCATGGCAATTTTTACAGTATATATTTTAAATTGCATTTTAATTATTATGCCCTTTTATTTTGCCTTTTTATTGTATTTCAAATGTTGTAAGCCGCCCAGAGACCTTCGGGTAGTGTGGGGAGCATATAAATAAAATAAATTAAATAATAAATAAATAATCTGAATAGGGCTTCTTCCTTTTCCCTTCTTCCAGCCCCTCCATAATACACATCTCCCTTCAACAACACTGGGATTAGGGGCACCAGACCCCTAAATAGTTCAAAATCCATGTATAATTCATATGCCCCTAAAAACATAACTACAAAGTATAAGCAGCTGATTCACACAGAGAGAGAGAGAGAGAGAGAGCAGAGGAGTGTACTATATTAACTGTACAGCATGCACCAGCACCCTCCCTGGCCACCACGTGGAGCTGCCGTGACAGGAGAGAGGGCCAGCCACCAACAATAGGGCCTCAGTAAGTCTGGGACCCACCTTTCTCAGGCCACCTCCTGGAGGTGAATAGCAGCACAGTATTTATTGAATGTTTATATATTTATTTATTGAAATATTTATTTATTTTTAAATCCATGTATCAGACCCATGCATTCAAGGGAGAAGTATATGTGTGTATGCACTTCTTTGAATTGCACAGGTCTGAGCAGCACAGTTTTGGTTATACAGATTTGTTTTGTTATGTGCCATCAGGTTAGAATTGACTTATAGTGACCCTAATAGGGCTTTGAAGGTAAGTGAGATATTTAAGGTATTTAAGGAGTGGCTCTGAGTATGGATTTGTATAATCCATGCACCTGTAATTCTAAACTGCAATTAAACTGAAATTGGAAATGAGAACTTCAGATTTCCTGAGAAGGGGAGGGAGGGAGGAGGCTTGCAATAACTTCGCTTCATGATAATGCATGGTTTATGACATCTGAAATCAGGTTTGCAACCAGGAAACTGTTTTAGTCTATCAACGAATTTTAGAACCTGTCAAACTTTATGTGCGCTTGTGTAGAAATGGTTTGGGTTACATGTGGAAGTCACCTGGAATGTTCTTCCTGGACCTGGGCATGCCTGGAAAACCTGATTTCCTTGTGAATCACCTGGGTGGACTTTACTTGAGTTAGAGAGGAATTTCAGACATGGAGAAACCAGTAGGCTTCTATACTGTATACCCCTGGAGCATACTAATCAACACGAAGTCAGACATTCTGTGAGGGCAGAGTCTGAGCATATAACTTTAGTTTTAATAAGAGACTGCTATTTGATTGGCATGTTATTTGGGCTACTTCTATGTTTTGGCATGTTATTTGGGCTGCTTCTATACAGATTATGTGATTCTTCTTTTTAAAAAGAAAAGGTGCTTGAATTTAGAGCTACATTTATCAAGTAAGTGTTCCAGACAAGTTGAGCTAGGAGGGAGGAAAATCCAAAGTCACTGTAACTTTGACCTCACGTCAAAGATTAGTTGAACTGCACGTAGAGAACAAACAGTACAACTGAATCTCTGCTCCGAATGGGCAAACGCCTGCTAAATATGAGGCTGTTCATTAAATCTTTGATCCAGCTTTCCTGGCCATAGTCTGAAACCTCAATATGGGAGTCCCTCTCCCTACATTTTAACTGGTTTGTTTAATGGATTTATATTATATTTTTATATATCTATATCTATATCTATATCTATCTATCTATCTATCTATCTAATCATACAGCCTGCATTCACACAACAGAGATCACGAAGGGACTGCTGAATGTCTTGCAGAAATCTATTACTTTATTTCATTTCTAACTTATACAGTTATATGTATAATTTAAAATATAACTTATTAAAACCTCTTATATTAGTGCATGCAGGCTTAGTATACATTCCTGCCAATGCACTCATGTGTAGACTGAAATTCTATTTAAGACTGGCAGAGCAGAAAGCATAGCTGGTGTTCATAATTGGGAATTGCAGGCCTGAAAACTGCCACAGAGGAAGAAAGACTGGCATAGCCCACTAATGGTACGTATGGTGTTCCAGCATCCACTTGAGAGCTTCTCTCTGCAGGACAATCGGTTCCAGCTCCAGGTGTGTCTGTGCAGCTGAGTCTGTGCACCAGACTGACATGAAAACAAAGCCATTGTGCTGCCAGGCAAACAGAGAGTTCCACTTGCACAAGAAAGTATTGCATAAGAATGTCCAAAATGCATATTTCTCTGGCTTTAATATTAAACTCAATTTGCTTCTCAAATTTTTTTGCAATTAACAATGGTAATGATAATAATAAGGACGAGACTGTTTTACTTCTAATTACTAATTCTTAGTACAAGTGTTCAATACAGACAGTCTACAGGACAATGTAATGTTGTATGAATACAAATTAGCTTCGTATTAGAGCAAAGGTATTTTCTTGACTAGGATCTAGTTGGAGCACATCTCCCAATTGCATAAGTGGTTGTCCTTTTTTTAGGTAATACGAAGCTAATTGTTTCATTGATGGCATTACTGTATACTAGAACAGATAGGTACGATTCACAAAAAGTCATCATTATGCAGATTCGTCATTTAGCGGGGTTGTCGTTTAGCGAGGTACCACTGTAGTGATGTTGACCTAGTAAAGAGAATGCCTGCTTCCCATTCATGATGACACAGTGCCCCTGCTTTGGGTTTTTCTGAGCTCAACAGCTTTACCAAATGGAATAGTCTATATGTGGCTAGAAGATATCAAGAAAGTCTTTTGAGATGCAAGATGAGGGCAGTTTAAGTCACTGGTTACTGAAAGGCACAGGTCTCTTCGCTCATTATATCTTTTGAAAGTCTTTGAAAACAGCTATTGTTAATAGAATATTCATACAACATTACATTGTCTTGTAGACTGTCCTTATTGAAGAGACACCAAGAATCTGTAATTAGGAGTAAAACAGTCTCATCCTCATTATTATCATTACCATTGTTAATTGCACACAAAAAAATTGAGAAGCAAATTGAATTTAATATTAAAGCCAGAGAAATATGCATTTTGGACATTCTTTCTGTAAGAGTGTGTTACTGTATATGCTGTCAAGTAAATCTGATTTATGATAACTTTAACAGGATTTTTATATATTTGAGATGTTTAAAGAATGATTTACCGTTGCCACCCCCAGTAGGTTGTCACAGTCAAATAGAGGTTTGAATCTAGGTTTTCCAATTCTTAGTTCAACACTCAGTTCAATCACTACATTACACTGACTCACATTAAAGAGCTACATTTAAAAAATAATAATGACCACATTAGATTTCCATATAAAACTAAGGCATAAACCAGCAAAAGTTAAATTCATTTAATCCTCACAGATTTTAAAAGAAAGAAACATATGAAGAATTGCAGTAGATATTTACTGCACTAAACCATACAAAAATAAAAGGAATGCAATCAAACTAACAAAGAATGGGAAAATAACTGCTAAAATTGATACATAAAAATTAATAGATGTAAAATACGCAAAAATGTTGAATATAGGTAAAGATAAAGGTTCCCCTTGGCATTTAGTCCTGTCGTGTCCAACTCTAGGGGGCGGTGCTCATCCCCGTTTCCAAGCCATAGAGCCAGCGTTTGCCCATAGACAGTTTCCGTGGTCACATGGCCAGTGTGACTTAGACACAGAACGCTGTTACCTTCCCACCATGGTGGTACCTATTTATCTACTTGCATTTGCATGCTTTCGAATTGCTAGGTTGGTAGGAGCTGGGACAAGCAACGGGAGCTCACTCCGTCATGTGGATTCAATCTTACAACTGCTGGTCTTCTGACCTTGCAGCACAGAGGCTTCTACGGTTTAACCAGCAGTGCCACCACATCCCTTTTAATGTTGAATATACATACCGCTAAAAATTAAGACTTTGCTTATAAAATAAATTAATACTACTAAAATACATATATTGTGTATTCTTTGTTGTTAGCCGCCTAGAGTGGTCTTAGCTGACTAGATAGGCGGGATATTAAATAAATAGATAGATAGATAGATAGAAAATAAAGATACTGTAAAATGAAGTATTAGCGGGTGACATTAATGGGTTTTGTTGGGCTACTATCATATTCTTATGCTTTTGAGTCTCCATGTTGATTTGTACAAATAGAATCTGTGGATTTCTCCATGCATTTGGAAAAATGAACACATTCCATTCATTTTTTTCACAAAACTAGCTGGAATAACTACACAATGGCAAGTTCAAGCAGCTTTACAAAAAAATTCGACTGTACAAAAATCTTTCAGCCTCACTGTCCTCACTAATCTAAGTTGTACATACATTAAAATCCTCATGGCAAACAGGTTTGACTCCAATTCCCTCCTCAAAAATGCAGAAAATGCTGAGTGAATTTACAAAATTGTAACTCTTGAATAAAAGAGATTTATATACTTGCCAAAGGCAAGTAGGTGTTTACAAGGCTGCATTCAAGTACAGTACTGTACTGAATTTCTGTAAACTATGTCAAAAAATGAACTAGGATAGAACATACATGACATTAAACATGATCTCAAGAATTCTTTGGATAAGGTCAAGTTGTGTCTAGGCCATGGAAGCAGGGAAGGGCAGGTTTACTGTTAGACCTTGGGTTGGCAAAGTAACTGCAACTCCTATGCAATAATACTGGGAATTGCAGTCCAAAAACATCTGGGGCATGGTACTTTGCCCCTAGCTTCTTCAGGCAATGGTTTGTCTCACACACAGACAAACGGAGCTCCTTCAATGGTGGTGGATTGAGGATTTTCAGCAGGGTTATCTCCTAGCAAGGATTTTATCAGGCAATTGCTCACTTCCGGAACTTTACACGAAATGACATTGTCCTCCACTCCACGCTCTCCCATAGTCACTGAAAATCAGCGAAGTTATAAAATATTTTTTGTCTGATACTACCAGGAGTGTGAACTGTGATACAAAAGAGGAATTAAGCCTCCCATCCCCATTCTGAATAAGGCAGAAATTGATGCCTGAATCGTACAGTGCAGCTTTTTAAAGGTCTGCCCTTCATCTGTATGTTGTGGTGGGGAGAACATCATGAGGAGACATAGAGCTTCAGGTAATGACATAGTGGGGGGTGATGTAACTTTATTGTGAAATTCAAACAGATTAGGGGAAACATTGGTTCATGCACAAGAAAAGGTCAAAATAAATAATAGGGGTAGTAGGAATTCCTTAAATGATAAAGAAGTTTAGTTCTCGTAACATACACCTTTCTCATCTTCTGCAGCTTGCAAATTATCTTGCTTTGTTTTGCAACTGAGCACAGAGAAATAAATACAGACTTAGTTTGCAAATCTGACTGATTCAGACTCGAAACTGATAAGGAATCATACTGCTAGATCACTATGGTATTTTCAACAACTTGCAGATCTCAGAATGTAACAGGATATCAAGTGCCTCAAGAACCTGTTAAGTGTTGGCTATCCTTGTCAGTTCAAATCAAATATCACATCTAGGATCCCTGAGAAATAAAGCTACAGGAGAAAGAAATATTTTTAAACAAAACCTTCCAGAGACACACAAGGCAGCTGTGGAGATATACAGGGGAGGGAAAAGGAAGTACATTTCAAAGTAAGTTGCTGAGTAAGCTAGTAAATGTGCAGTATTACAAGCTGTGTATTTCAGAACTAGAAAGACGAGACATTTTAACAAGTAGGTAAGACACTGAAATCAAATTCAGATAACCACCTTTCATGACATTAAGTAGTTAATTACAAACAGTTACATACTAGTTTATCTTCAGTAAGGCTCATAGTCTAATGCTATTACTTCTTAATTAAATGATTAAATTGCATTGACCTTTAGAAAAAGGTTTCACAATACTGTAAATATTTTCCTCATAGAAGGAAGCCTTTCACAAAAATTGACCTAAGGAGCTGAAGTATTTCATGCTAGTTCTTTACCTTAAAAGTATGAGTGAATGCTGGTTTTCTTGGATTTTTAATATGGATTGGTTCTCTCTGTTTGCACAATTAATGTCTGTGTTAATTTTTACTTCATTTTTCCCCGTCCCTTCCTTGTATCTCTTAACCCAATGAAAAATTCTGAAGAACTTAAAAGCTTGCACACTGACTTGTGACATTTTGATTGATTTGAATAAAGACATTACCTAACTATGGATTTTTTTAAAAAAAATCATGGACTAATACAGCTGTATTTGCTTCTCATATACTTTCGATAATAATATACGGTATCTTTCTGCCCAAGTGCAATCCATCACAAGAGGAAGGTGACTTTTCTATCAAGTGAGGAGAAACACTGCATTTTGAGGGTTCCCTCTCCTCCATTTTCCAGGTAACATTCTATAGTTTGGCTACAAATGACTAAACCTAAGGCACCTTCTAAAATAAATATCAAGTTTTACAAATATAAACACTCTAATGTCTTTTCCCCACTACATCTGCTTTCTGCAGACTGAGGAACCTATTGCATAACCCAAGGTAAGGGATAGATCAGGATTGGACCTGGCCTTTTGTTTTCAGAAATGAAGATCAGCCATTGCTTCTGCAACAGAATTTTAGGTGTAATCCAATATCTGAACCATTAGCAGAGATTAATTCATCTACTCTGCAATCTTTATTCTCAGATGAAGGCTAAAATGAACACATTGTGGCCATAGCATCTAATCTAATTTTAATTTATTTCTCTGTCCCCTACCTTTTTTGTATTCACTAGTCTAATTAAGATCTCTGAAGAATTCATGACATTTTTGTTGGTTTGAGTAAAAGTACTGCTTTGTTTTTGATTCTGCTTAGGCTGCAGAGTGATGGGCTAAGACTTGGAAGAACTTGGTTCAAATTTCAGCACACCTACGGAAACTCACTGGGCAGGTGGTGCTGTTAAAAAGAAGCACTTCCCAAGTTTAGTATCTCACATAATTTGTAAACCCTATAAGGAACACTAAAAGTCAGATTGGACTTGATGTCATGTAACAAACATTCATTCACTGAACAAGTTTACAGTAACATTCAAATTAATTGTAATGGAGCAATTCTACGTTACAGGTTACTAATCATACATAGTTTGTCTGTAGTTTACCGCTTTTCATTTACTACTACTACTCCAACATATGGTTAAAATTCAAGATGCATTTCATTGGCCTTTCAAGAGGTCCTTTTCTATGAAATTGCAGTTGGTATAATTAACCATATATCATGCAAGAATTCAGAAGCCATTCCTGATAGTTTGTCAACAGAACACTAGCTATAAGAAACTAGTGGTTGACCTTTGTTCTGTGCTAGCTAAAGTGTTCCACTTTAAATGTCATAAACACTTCCCCAGTTGGTGCTACCATTAGGAATTGCTTGACCTTACCCTCTACATACCAGTGGTGAATGATGCATAACTGCATGCAGCCCCTAACCGCTATCCTAGCCAAACATCATGTGACCACGTGAAAAACACATGGTCCAGTTCACACCTCTACAGCTACCTATGCTGTAGCCCTTATGAAGCAAATGTTCATGCCTCGCCCTATTCTTTGAGGATCCTTTTCTGGATCATTGACAAGACTAAAACATCTTATAAGAATGAAGCTATTTAATCTCAGCACACAGCAGCACTCATTTCACCTGCAAATTTACTCCTACAGTTACAGCTAAACTTGACCAAAAATAACAAACCTTTGAATTGTATCTTGCATGAAAATATTATGGCAACTAACCACAAAGAACTGTGTCAGTTTGCTTCACAAAAAAGGGGTTACTGTATTTATAAATCAATCTACAAATGTGATTCAGTCAGTTATGTTACATATCAATTCAATGTTTTTAAAAACGAGAAAGAATACTGGTTGTTCTTGTTTTTTTCTTTGCTAAAGTTATTTTCTCACAATGTTCAATATATATTTTGTTCCGTGTGTTTCAAGGTAATTTACACAGATTAAGCATAAGCAGATTCAATAGTTTAGGCAAGTGTTCTATTTACACACAGGAAAGTTATTCATTTGTCTCAATACTCTGCTGCTCCAGCAACAGGAGCAAGTGCCCATGTCAGTTACCTTGTTGTTGTTTTTTTTACAAAGAAGCAGAACTTGGAAAAGTTACTTTTTAAGGACTACAACTCCCAGACCCACCCAGTTGATATGGGCACTGGCAATGCTGGCTGGAGAATTCTGGGAGTTGTAGCCCCAGAAAAATAACATTTTGCAATTCGACTTCGCAGCCTATGCCTTGCAGGTTTTCTGGGAGTTGGGGTTGAGCACCACCAGAGCCCCTTGTATTCAACATTCTTCCACCTCCTCTCCCTGGGCATCCTACACGAGAGCCAGTCAGATGGAGCAAGAACTTTACCTGCCAACAATCACAACCCGTCCTTCCTGTATAGGATTCATCTTGCAAGTTCAAGTGCAGCACCCCCGCCAGAGAGAGAGAGGAGAACTGCCAACACCCCCGTGGGCAACTTGGGCCACCTCCGGCTTAAAGGAAACGTTGCCTCCCCCACCCTCCACCTTCAGGGATGTCACAGCCACTCCCATTGGTTACTAGAAAAGCACGGCTCCTATTGGTTGTTCACGTGACCTCGGCGATTTGCTCGGGAAAGCGCCTTCGAAGCAGGGCTGCCCGGTTTAAATTGGGGGTGGGGGGAGAGGGAGAGAAGAGGGTCGTGGGGATGCTTTAGTTGGGCACCCTTCAGCTTTGTGGGAGGAAGGCTTTTATCTCCTTTCTCGGGGGGGGTGTTGCCTAGAGGGAGGAGGGGAATATCTCAGACGTGTTAATTACGGGGTCTCCCCCCCACACACACACACTTCCGCAGTCGTGGTGCTCTCGCTTCCTCGTCCCATGACTTGATCTGAGGCGTTACTTTTTTCGCCCGATCAATGTATTCTTGTCCTTCGCTTCAGGGGCACGACAGGCTTTTGGCATCTGTCCAGCAAACCCTCCCGTGCCACAGCCGGGAGCATTGGGCCCAGCGTAGATGTCCAGCGACAGCGCATGGGCGAGCCACAAAGAGGGGGCAGGAGTGGCTGCAGCCCAGCTGGGCCTTCGCTGACCTTTTGGTGATTAGGAAGCAAGAAAGATTTGAGACGAGGCTCTCCGGCCAGAATGAAACCATAAACGTGTGTCTGCAGGACTTTGGTGGTGGTGGGGGACTGCATAGTAGTGTAACTTATCCCTACAGCACGTACAACTCCCATATAGTGTGTTTCTCTCTGTGCATTAAAATTAAGAAAGTCATTCAGGATACTGGAAGGGAGTTGTTGTTTAGTCATTAAGTTGTGTCCGACTCTTCATGACCCCATGGACCAGAACATGCCAGGCCCTCCTGTCCTCCACTGCCTCCCAGAGTTGGGTCAAATTCATGTTGGTAGCTTCGATGACACTGCCCATCCATCTCAACAATATACAGCCTTGTTATACTCCTTTCTCAATTTTGAACCAGTCAGTTGTTCCATATCCAGTTCTAACTGTTGCTTCTTGTCCCACATATAGATTTCTCAGGAGATAGATAAGATGGTCAGGCACTCTCGTTTCTATAAGAACTTGCCCAAGTTTATTGTGGTCCACACAGTTAAAGGCTTTTGTGTAGTCAATGAAGCAGAAGTAAATGTTTTTTTCTGGAACTCTCTGGCTTTCTCCCTAATCCAGCACATGTTAGCAATTTGGTCTCTAGTTCCTCTGCCCCTTCGAAATCCAGCTTGTACTTCTGGGAGTTCTCGGTCCACATACTGCTGAAGTCTACCTTGTAAGATTTTTAACATAGCCTTGCTAGCGTGTGAAATGAGTGCAATTGTACGGTAATTGGAGCATTCTTTGGCACCTGCCCTTCTTTGGGATTGGGATGCAGACTGATATTTTTCAATCCTCTGGCCACTGCGCACTAATTTAGCATTCCAGTCCCTTATAATGAGAAGAACATCTTTCTTTGGTGTCAGTTCTAGAAGGTGTTGTAAGTCTTCATAGAATTGGTCAGTTTCAGTGTCTTCAGCATCGTTGGTTGGTGCATAAACTTGGATTGCTGTGATGTTGAAAGGTCTACCTTGGATTTGTATTGAAACCATTCTATCATTTTTGAGATTGTATCCCAGTACAGTTTTTCCCACTCTTGTTGATTGTGAGGGCTACTCCATTTCTGGAAGGTAGAAACACCACCAAAACCCCCAGACACCCATGAACAGGAGGTACCTGTACCTTTGCCTAGTAACTTATTCTGTTTCTCCACAATCCATTTAGGAGGACTGAACCCTCTGCCTACTATCAGGGAGAATGAGTTGAAGGTGACTCAAGGGGAGTCTTGCTACCTATTCAACCCCTCTCTTTCTGGACAGCCCGTCATATAGGTTTCTGCAGGAAGTATATCTAGTTGTGCATAATGGGCATATAACTAGGAAGTAATTGAGGTGCACTGAGAAATGACAGTCATGCGTTTCTAACATCACTTTTTTTCCATATCATAAAAAATAAATCTCTTCATTTCTGCTTTGACCAACACATGTGCCAGCTTTCTTCTTACTTTCAGATCTCCTCAAATTCAAGTATTCCACAGGCTGGACTAAGAAGATCAGTCATCTTGTCTCTAGAAACAATCATAGTTATGTTCGTGACCATAATGAAAACTGAAAGATAGCTAGTTACTAATGGGTTTTCATCATTTGGAACAGTTAAGTTCCTCCAAGTACCGAAACATCAAATATGTTCCCATGCTTTTTTCTCTCCTGTCAATTTAAGTGAAAATCCAGATTTAGATACTGTATTCCAAATTTCTATTTAGTGAGATGAACATTCAAAGAGATTTTCAAATGTTGGCCAAAATATTTAAAAAGTAATACTTTTTAGAACAACTTTTTATGAATAATGTCTTATGTCTAATTTAAAAACATTTAAACTCTTTTAATAGGTTTGTATTTCGTGAAGTTAACCTTCCCATCACTACCTCCTAATACTGTTGGAATCCGACTCCAACAACCTGTGGTGATGGGAGAGGTCCCTGAAAGGTTCCGGAGGGAGAGACCTCTGAAATAAGGAGACTGCAGTCGAATTAATCTTTTCAAAGCGTGCTCAGGATCATTGGCTGAAGTTGCTGTTCAAATGGTCAGTGATAACAGCTCTCTGTGAAGACAGCTCAGCTCTCTGTGATATCAGCTTCCCCAATGATGCCTGGCACCTCCTTTTATTCTCTTACCGGTTACATAACATCAACTGTCAGGTTTACACGAGCCAATAGGACGCTCTGCTCAGTAACACACCATATTACATCACATGAGGAGATCAACATGGTTCATACAACATGGATATTAACATGACAAGAAATTCCTTTATATGTTTAGCTATGGCATAAATTCCCACATAATACTAATTTTAGCAGTGGTTTTGATGGTGGTAAAACACTGAAGAATAATACTCTGAGGTTGAAAGACTGGGAAGAGTAATTCCTCAACATTTGAGTTTCAGATTTTTCTTACTTCTACACCTAGTTCAGTGTGCCAAATCTCTCTCAAAATTAGCTGGGAGAGTAATGTTTGGCTAGAATGGAACCATTTATATAATTTTTCTCAGTTCTGCTACAGTTTACTATTGTGAAAAATTCTAAGTCTTCTACATTAGTTAAAACAGTAAACCGCTATGTTTTAATAGTAAAAAGTCCAATAAAATCTAATAAAACCCTTGATGGAGAGGTTTCATCCCAGCCATCCTTTTAGAGGATTTCAGGTCCAAAAACGCGTAACTGGAAATGCTAGGGACTGAGTATGGTGCCTTCTGCATCAAAGGTACCATTTATTTGTTTACCCTGTGGAAACTATTACTTTGGAGGCTATTGGCTGCCTGACACCATTAAACAAAAGAGGTCACAGCCTGACTTTAGATAAGGTAGATCCTTAAATCTAGAGTTCCCATACTTTAATAGCAATAGAAGTCTATCAACAGTCTAGGTTCAGGGTTTCCAAACATCAGTTTATGACCCTGGTAGATTTAGGAACTCTAGGACACTTTTGTCAAACTCAAGAAAAGTCAGATGGAAGTAGCATGCCGATATATCTAAGAAGACTTTTATGACTGGTACTGTAGTGTGTAAAATATGCATTTTAAAAACTTTTATTCATAAATATCAAACTAAAGATGACACCAACTAGTTTAATATTTGGTGTGAGTATAAATTAAACGCTCAAGCATTAAAGTAGCATGTTTAATAGCTATTGTTTTTCATTAGACTACAGGCTTACCATTAACAATTTACATTTTCATATGGTTGTCATATTACAAAGTTAATATTTCAATTCAGTTTCCTAAGTTTTTAGCTCAAATTTTAATTTAGTCAGTAGAATTCAGTAGAATTCAATCTTGCCACAACAATGTACAGTACTATGTAAACATTGTTTCAATGGTTAACAGTATTTTCCTTATTTTAATTTAAAAAATTATTTGAAAAGGCAATGCTGAAATAAATTGCTGTTTTTTCACAGTTTATCTATAATTCCTATTAATTTGTGTGTATTTTTTTAAAAAAACATTCTAAAATTAAGATGGGAAAGAATCCAATGCCACATTAAAAATTAACAAAATGATTATGACATACTGTAAGAATCTGTTGACTACAATGCAAAAAAAGTTACTTGCTAACAAAAATATAAAAAGTTAATACTGTACTGATAACAATTCCTAAAGTATGGGTGGCATATCTACATTATCTATACACTACTATTAAATTCAGTGGGTTATAATTGTCAGCATAATATCCATTTCACTCCATGGGACTGACATACGGTATTCATACAGAAGCACAATATTGCCATTAATGTCACAGGTGCACTGGACAATATATAACAGTGGGTTTGGAACTGGTTGTCTTCTCCCAGCAGAAACAAAGGCTATTCTTATATTGATTACCTAGGAAAAGTGTTGGGAGGGTACATAAACAAGTGTCATATCTTTGGTGATGAGACAGAAGAAGATAGTGACACCTAGGGATATCATACACTAATATTTACCCGGACAGACAAAAGATAAAGATCCAACAACAAGGCTGCTGTGAACCACTTCCATCTGTGTCATGAAGTCCAAAGCTTCCTGTTTTGCTTTCCACTTATTCAGTCAGGTAAAAGTTGCATTTAAAGGAGGTGTTACAAAACTTTTGTTTTATTAGCTTTTAGAAATCAGCTTTCTAAAAATGCAAATACTGTATACATTCTTAAAATACAATAAAAACTGAAAAAACCTCACAGAAGTACATCTTCCTAATCTTTATAATAAACTTTGCTATATCACTTTGATTTTTTTTTGTTTATCATGGCATGATCATCTACCAATAGTTACCCACTGTGTTCCACATGAGAACTGCGAGTCTGCCATGAAAAATATATTCAGCTGAATAAAGGCTCCTATGAGTTTTGAACGATCCACAGCATCTAAAGGATGCTATCTGCTGCATCATCCTTCCAGATTGCTCATCACCTGCTGAGCAATTTTGCCCTCTCTGTTGCTTTTGTGTCTGATTACAGTGCT